GCATGAGACTCAATAAAGTAAGCCACGGCTGTTGTTTAGCAAGATCTGAGCAGAGCAGTTAACAATAGAACATTCTGTTAACATTGTCCTTCCCTGGTAGATGGCAGGAATGCTATAGATGTAATATATCTTGACTTCTATAAAGCCTTTGACAGAGTTCCCCATGATATTCTGATTAGCAAGCTAACTAGGTACGGGCTGGACAGATCAAGTGTCAGCTGGATATACCATTGGATACAGAATCATAGAGAGTTTGTATCAGTGGCTCCTACTCAAACTGGAGAAGGTAACAAGTGGGTACCACTTCAACATTTTAATTAATGACTTGGATGAGGGAGTGCAGGGAATACTTATTTGCAGATGACACAAAACTGGGGGGGAATAGTTAATACTTTGGAAAACAGGAATAAAATTCAAAATGTTCATTTATAGGCTTGAAAACAGAATGGCATTTAATAGGGAAACATGCAAAATTGTACACTCATATGGTCCGTGACTTTAATTGTCCTGCAGTTCTCCAAATGTCTCCCTTCCCTGCCCAGTCAGTTACAATGTAGCCTTTGCCCAAGTTCTTCTTCCTGGTAAACCTCTACCATGCATGCTTGGTGTTGGAAGAAACTGCTGTTTCTCCCATTTGAAAGACCTTTTTGGAGGCCCAGTATTTCAACTCCTACAACCTAGATTCTTTCTAAATAAAGAAAAGTGAGCATGGGCAACAATTTTCTTTCATGATAGAGGAGACTGCTCTTTTCAACTTATGTGAGCTGAGGGGGTAGTTGAGGGTCACCAATTTTTGAATGGGGGGGAAATAGTTTTATTTTTTAAAAATCATAAAATGAATACTCTCATCTATCCTTCCCCAAATTTGGCACAGACCAAGAACAGACTGATTGCTACAGCTGTGATAAATTTGGTGCTGATCCAAAGTCCAGTTTAAAACTGATCTCTTTTTTTGTTTGGGCTGCCCCCATTTTTAGAATTGTCTTGTAGAATGTTGATTCACTCTGCCATACAATATCATCACTGCACTTTCATGTAGCTATAATGTTGAATCAGTTTTCAGATAATACAATATTCTACAATGGAAGCAATGCCTATAATACACCTATAGTATGTGGACCTCTGCCTTTAGTTTACCATCTTTATATTTTGTCTGCCAGAAACAAAACAAAACAAATATATAAACTCTAAACCCAAAGGTTTTTTTAAAAAAACATCATTTCTGCTTCTCTAACTTAAACCAGGCTAATTTTTTCTTCCTTTACATTAATTGCCTACTTGTGTATCAACTTCTTTGTCAAAAATAACAAGCTATGGAGATGCATTTCCTTGGAAACAGAGAGTTATATAATGGTGTGTTTCTATAAATGGGTGATGCATCTTGAACTACTTGGGCATAACTCAGTTGGACAATAAAACTCATGCTCCAAATAGCAGAAACCACACTTGCCAGCAGGTCTGAAGATCTGGATAGTTCAAAAGAAGTTGGTTAATAACAGCCAGAGTGGTATTTAGTCTTCAAAAGCAATTCAAAAATTGCCTATCTTCAAGATAATAGTACATTTCTGGTTGTAACAGGCTAACAAGGCTACCTTCTTGATTCATTAAGTCAAGCATGGTGGAAAGTATGACCCTCCAGATGTCTGAGATGCAGCATTGAGAGGAGGGCTAAGCCACTGATATGAGTTATTGAGGGGAACTGAAAAGTCAGGCAAGTCTTCTACTCTAGGGCACAACAGCCACAAATGCATTAAAGGTAAAGGTTCCCTTTGACATTTAGTCCAGTTGTGTCTGACTCTAGGGGGGCGGTGCTCATCCGCGTTTCCAAGCGGTTTGTCCACAGACATTTTCTGTGGTCATGTGGCCAGTGTGACTAGACAAGGAATGCTGTTAGTGTACCTATTTCTCCACATCCTCTCCAGCATTTAAGAGAGCCTTTGTTTCTAAAGAAGGGTTTTTGGAGGACTCAAAAGCTGCACAGTTGGAGATCTTCAGATTAGCCTAATAAAAGTATTATCCCATGATGCATTTTGAAATATATGAATGATGCCTACTTTCTCTTCTCTGTCCTGAATCTTCCACCCTCCAATACTACACTGGTTGGCATGACTCGTAAAGTCAGGGCTCAAAACTTCCAGGCAGGATGGGGCGGGGTGGAATTTTGGGAACTATAGTCCAACAAGTAACACTTCCAAGCTCTTATAAAGGACATTCTCATGCAACAAAGTGAATTTTGGGGAATACTGTAGATGCCGTCCAAATGCCAATGAAAATCCAGTATCCTGAACTGTGTTTGAATAAGGGCATCTGATTAGCAACCCATGACACTACATTGTGTTTTTTAAAAGCAAATATCACCATATGTCAAAGTGAACAGCTTATTTTATTAATTGAGTGACATCTCAATTGGTTTAACAGAGCTGTCCACCAAGGGCTCTGACTAATATCTAGCTGGCAAGACCATCTCTCTGTTGAGAGAGATACGCTGAGGGCTCTTGCTGAGAGCTCTCTGTGACTTTTCTTTGTCACATTAACACTCCTTGGTGTAATCGTTAGGGTGAAGGAGACAAAAAAAAAGGATCCCACTGGAGTATGCTGCACAATTTATAATCTTCCAATAGGAGTTACCTGATAAGGCAGCAAAGGAGCAAAACAATCAACAGTAGTACATAGCAACATGCCCAGCAGCTGGTGGGTGTAAGGCCTCTGGAGGGGCGAATCCTGGAAAAAGGAGATGTTCATTTCAAAGAATATTGCTCTCCCTCCTACTCCTGTTACTCTGTTGTGTTACCAGGCATCAGTGCTCACTTTTAAATATCAACATTTCTTCTTGGCTCTCACCTTCACATGTGAAACGTGATAGTCTTAGCTCCTTTCCTTTGCATGGAGTGTGCTGATTGCTCTACTCATGCAAAACGGTCTGGAGAGAAAGTATATATGAGCAGAATGACTGATTAAGTCGCAGAGACATGGAAGTTTCAAAAAAGAAAAGTTGTGATATTTCCTGTACAGTCGATGGACAAATGGGGCATTTGAAGCAGCGCGTTCTCAGGTTAAAGTTCTTGGACTTCCCTGAACACACAGTATATTCCTTTCCCTGGTCTCTGTGCTTTCTGAAAACCTTTCCCTCTCATGCTGGTAAAGTGGTTCATAGGAGAACGTGACCTCTCCTCAGCTCCAGCCAGCCTGGTTAACGGTCAGAGATGCTGTGAGCTTTGATCCAAAACCAATGGATTTGAGGGAGGGCTGTCATAATACATTCTGGAATCAAGGGCATCTGGAATGGGTTGACAACTGCAGCGAAAGAAAACTGGTTAGTAATACTCCCAGATGCTTAGCATTTTCAGGTGCTTAAAGAGTATACCCAGTGGGGTGTAGTGACCGGATTCAGATCCCCACTCAGCCATGGTCACTCACCAGAGAGTGGAACTGGTAGACACACCTTAAATATCTCACTTATCTTAAAAACCCTATGAGGGTCAGTATAAGTTAGTTCCTATTGGCAGCACATAATTAAGAGGCAGTATGGCATAGTGGGTAGAATAGTAGACTCTGAGCTGTAAAATAACATTTCTGCTTCTGCCACAGACATATTTTCTTTGGCCAAACCATTAGATCTTCTCTTTTGCTAACAAGTCATAGTGAGTTGTCCTGAAGCACCATACACTGATTAATAAGCAATTATCACTCTTCGTGACCCCATGGACCAAAGCACGCCAGGCCCTCCTGTCTTCCACTGCCTCCCGGAGTTGGGTCAAACTCATGTTGGTCGCTTCGATGACACTGTCCATCCATCTCGTCCTGTGTCGTCCCCTTCTCCTCTTGCCTTCACACTTTCCTAACATCAGGGACTTTTCCAGACTGAAAAGATACCTAGCCACCATTTTACAACAGGAAACAATGTGTACAATTACATGTGTAATTCTGGACATTTTAAAAGTAATTTATGTACTTCATTCTAAGTGATTTAATCCTTGCAGTTATAAAGAACTTTCTGAGCAATTCTCCAGCATGGCCGCAATCTTTAGAATGCTAAGATTTCATTGTTTAGCAGGTGTATAGCATGGAATTCTGTGTATTTTGTCACATTCTTAGATTTTGTACTTTATCTTTCTTTAAAAAATAATCCATCTATTTGTATGGGTGCCTGCTCTCTGTGTTATTAAAAGCCAGCTATCTTTTCTCTGTGTTTCAAATGCTGTGCAATTTCAAAAAGTTCTTCCTTCTTTTTAAAAAGCAGAGTTCGTGGCTAATTGTTGTATGTGTGTTGTGTGCTCTCAAGCGTTATAAGGTTCAAGGTTTGTGAGATACGGTATTTAAGGAGTGGTTTTACCAGAGTCACTCCAGAAGAGGTTTTGTTTTTGTTTTTCCTATAAAAGAGCCTGGCTTCGAACCAGTTC